GTGGATAAACTTCCGTCCGTTTCATTCATGTTAAACCGCGTGATGAATGCATCTGTGTAACGGAGCTCTTCTATGAAACCACGTTCCAGGAACAAATCCTACATTTTCCAAACATATTACAATCTAAATCTAAAGCGATATTTTACCTTAAATACATCATTTCTCTCTATCCTATCAGACCTTGGTCTATTCAACATAAGTAAATGACTATCCACTTCAGTAATGAAATATTAAAAGTAATAGGCCTATTAAAAATAGGCTTCTAATAGGAGATTGAATATACCGCAGAAACTACTCTAAATGTGGCATTATCCATTGGTCATCTGTCAAGAAGTACTCCCTGATAAATCAACATTCACCCTGAAACTTGGCAGACCTGTCAAATGAACTGACATGAACCTGAACACATTCCATGTTACAAAAAAGTTCCACTACCACAGCATAGCGTGTATCTGTGCAAGTGTAGTGTACTCAAAAACGAGATTATTTTGGAATTGTTCGACTTACAATGTTAGCTATCATCCAATGGAATCCTTTGCTGACGATACCATGAGTTATGCCCTAGGGAATAAAAATAAACAATAGAAAGTCTAAACAATTTTGTAGAACAGTTTTTTTTTTCACATTTCAATGCGAATGTTTTTGTTTTTCAAAAAAAAAAATTCTCACAAATAATGTGAGATTTTTGCAGACAATGTAACGTTTCTCCAACCTTTTTAATGACGTCAAGTGCTACTTCTTCTGTGAATGTGTATAGGATTATATTGTTAACATCCTGTAACCTGTCGTATTTGATGGCATCTGCAGTCTCTTTGAAGTCGTCTGACAGTGGCAACAAACGAATATTCCAACCGTAGTCCTTTGCCTCCGACAGCAATGGCGACAAATTTTCAACCACTAAAATAATTATTACATTTATCATGATTATTGCCATCATTATCGATATTTGGCACATACATATTTGCAGTTTGACTGATAAAGCCAAATTGAAAATATTTGCAAGTTCTAGCATGTCAAAGGTTTTTTTTTATTTATTATTATTATTTTTAATTATTGTATCATACTATTGACATCTGCACTGCTAACTACAGTCTCCTCGAAAAATAACTTAAAACTGCGGTTTAACAATTGGTTAATTTGCACTTTCAAGAACCATCGTATCATTTTGAATAGTAGGGGTTTACCCCTAATATCTGGTTCAGTTCTGCTCCTGATGTTTTCAATAAATGTCAATATGTAGTTACTAGTGACGTTTCTGTCAATGATTGCTGCTATCAAAGTAATCACGGAAGACACCTGTACTCTGCACAATGATCAGACTGTTCTGCACCTTTAGCACCTATTTTGGTAGATATGTTCAAACTATAAAAGTTGCTATTAATGATAATATTATTGTTATTATTATTATTGTTATTATTATTATTATTATTATTATCTTCATCATTATTATTATTATTATTATTATTATTATTATTATTATTATTATTATCATTATTATTATTATTAGCATTATTATTATCATTATTATTACTATCATTATTATTATTAATATTATTATTATTATTATTATTATTATTATTATTATTATTATTATTATACACTCTTCAATAAGACAATTGCAGTGATGCGTCTTTAACTTTCCAACACTAAAAGAAATTTAAGTAAAAAATTGACTCATCCTCACTCTCTAATCTGACAGTGACAGTGTTAAGAACGAACGATGTTATCTAGGCCTACAACGTACAACTAATAATTAGACACAATCAACGTTGTTGTTGAATGCAAACACTTTGCATAATGGTTTGTTTATTGTTATAGTAATGAAATAAACAGACAGAAATTAACACATCTCTTCTATATTATGATGGCCCTGAAAAGGGCCTTTGTTTTGAGTATTTTGGGGGTGTTAATGAGTCATCGTCCGTACGAGGAGATTAATATTATTATTATTATTATTATTATTATTATTATTATTATTATTATTATTATTATTATTATTATTATTATTACTATTATTATTATTATTATTATTATTATTATTATTATTCTTATTATTATTATTATTGTTGTTGTTATTGCTATTGTTAGTGTTAGTGTTATTGTTATTATTATTATCATCATCATCATCATTCATTATTATTATTATTATTATTATTATTATTATTATTATTATTATTATTATTATTATTATTATTTCAGTTACGGGATATTCCCCTACCTTTACTTTTGTTTTGTTTGCACATACCACCACCTAGAATATGTGAAATAGTTTAACATTGAATAACTTTTGTTTGGGAATTATTGTTCAAAATTCATTAAAAAAAATATTTATAGTATGGTCAATTATTGGAATTATTTAATAACTACGGTATAAAACCTCTACGGAACTGGGAATAAGGCATTTCATTTTGGTTCTCTAAAATGTAATATTATTGTTCAAACAAATAATATAAGTGCACCTTAAGCTTATATATAGGCTTATAAGTTACCCACATAGAAAGTCTTGGATATTATACAGTTAGTTTCGTGTCATGTCATTCTGATTAAGATTCTAAACAAGTCGCTGTTGAAAACCCTGCTTGATACTTACATTTACCATTGTCGTAGAGCAATGTGAAATCAACCCACTTATAATACTGTAACATGTCTTTAAGTAACGAATTCACATCTTCGGGCGATGGGTACATCTGAATAGCTGGTGATTCCAGACTACCTGGGTCGAGGTTTATGATTGGATCAGTTGCATAGCTAATGGTTGCAGACAGGTCGTCGCAGTCATCGCAGACATCTTCAGGAAGGACTAATGCTGTTACACTCCGGCCTACGACTGTTTCGGAACAAACTGAAACAGAAACATTTACTTTCATTTGTTTATTCTAGTCCAAGTAATTTTCTATATTTTGCGTTCGAATTTATTGTGAAAAGAAACTTTGGTTCTAACTTGAAATAATCCTCATCTGAACGCAGCCTAGTTACTTAAGTTCTGTTAAACGAAATTTTGTTAGGAGGATTTTTTGTTTTTTTTGTTTTTTTGTTAGGAGGCTTTTCTTTTCTTTTCTTTTTGCTAACCCTGCCCCCATTTTACCGATGTTCACAAGTAACTTAATGATTAGGGACACATTGTATAAAAAGTAATTAGAATGGAATCTATATTTTAAAAATATGTTTTTGTTGTACCAGTAAACATATTTGCAAGAATTCCTACGAAATCCTCAGCTTTTCAACTATTAAGATGGAAGAACGACCGTTTGAAATAAAAATATATGTTAATTAAAAAATAACAAAATCAGAATTTCCCCAAAAGCGATGAGGGAAGGGGTGATACACTAACATTTTTTGTTTATAAGTAATTATAAGTTTTTACTCTACAGCTCCAATGCAACTGCAAGTAACTAATACTTTACTGGAAGAGAAACATTACCATAATATCAAGGCAAATAGTTTAACAGAATCCGTTTCTTCTTATACTATCAACCTATTCTAAACGATTCAACTATCTACAATGTATATAAAATTGCTATGACGTCATACCGTAAACCATAGATTGCCAAAATGAGTTGAATGTTTCCCCCAGTAGTTCAAGACGAATCCGGTGAATTCCGAGAAAATCCGAATCGTCAGAAACATGTTCTAAGGCGTCACGGAGGATTTGGGAATATTCTCCATCGTCGGCACCAGTTCGATCTCCGAGCACGGTGGCTGTAAATTTGGAGAAAAAAAAACCCAATTTAAATAATACAATAATAGTGTTGCAGAAGAACGTATTTTGTGGGTAATTGCAATATAACAACCAAGGAAGGGCTACAGCTGCTATAGGCCAAAAAGGTGGAAGTGGGGGTGGGGCGAACCTAAACAAATTCTCACCTAGTAATCAACAGATTGGTAGTTAGTAGTCACTAAATCATGCAATCAACGGTAAGACAAAATTCTAAAAAAGAAACATTAATTCGCTATAATAACATAACATACATATTATATTATTCATTACAAGAAATGCATCGTTTCATACGCCAACGCCTAATAATTATTAGTCATTTCACTGCTGGCTTTAACGAGCTTCGGTATACAACCTGAGGCAGGTGGGAACTACATTGACAAAACAAACATAACAAGAATACAGACGTCTAGATAGGCCATTGTTGAAGCACAACGAACACTTCAATTTTAGGCTGCAGTATAATAGGCCTATTCGTTTAGGCTGTACAGTATAATCATAGAGAAAATAAAATTTTCTCTATCACATAACATCTGAATATATTACTGTATATATATTCACATCTGGAAAAAGCACAAAACATTAAATACGCCTTTATGTACTATAATATTGTGAACTTCGTTTATCAATATATTTTTTATAAATGTCCTTTGTTTACAAACATTTTTATGTTACATTGTTATATTTATTTATAAATATAAAGTTAAATTTACATAGTTGTAATTGTCTGTTAAGTGCGAGCTGCTCCCATTATATGTAATGTTTCTTTGATTTTACGTTGATAAACAGTATTAGCAGAACATATTATTTTGAAACAACCCTTGTTACAAACATCCTTACATTTATATAAATTACTTAAATGAGTAAATATATCTGAAATTTTGTCCGTTTTTAAATGTTCGTTAAGGTGTATTTTGAAATGGCGACCAGTTTTGCCGATATATACACCATTACAGCTCCAGCAAGTAAATTTGCATCAGCGGGAACAGGAACAATTTATAATTATTATTATTATTATTTTATTATTATTATTATTATTATTATTAAAATTATTATTATTATTATTATTATTATTATTATTGTTATTATTATTATTTTTATTATTACTACTATTATTATTATTATTATTATTATTATTATTATTATTATTATTATTATTATTATTATTGCTATTGTTATTGTTATTGTTATTGTTATTATTATTTTTATTAATGTTATTATTAATATTTTAATTTATTTTGATGATATGAAAATGTCATTTTTTATTCTGTGACAAGGCAAACATTTAGGCAGCAATAAACTGATTTATTCGCTTTTTTTTTTTTTTTATAGAACCATGGCCTAATATTATTAGAACACATAGTAATAAGCATTTATAGACCATGAAGGTCGAATCATTTTGGGGTAATTCTCTGTGCTCTAATAAACTTCTACCAGGCTTACTCTACAAGCAAGAGTATAATTTTGAAGGATCAATGTCAATGTGAAAAAGGTACGGCTTATGTGGGTGATTTTCAGAGAGTTCCTAAACCGGTTCCGCTTTTAGTACTAATGTTTAATTATTCAATTTAACGGGCATATTATATTCAAATATATTCACATTATGTAAAAAAACAACATATAGACATAAATCACTATATTATTCATTAGAGATGTTGCTTCATATTTCATTATTTTGTATGTATTCTTTATCAGCTTTTGGAATGAGTCTCAATCGATCAGCTGACTACTTGATTTATGGAATATGATTTTTGCTTCTATAAAAGTCACTAACAAGAGTGCGAATTTTCGATTCACTAAGTATGGAGAGGTGTGTATAAAGTTTAGGCATATAAAATAATCTCTGTTACAAACCGGGAAAAACGAAAAAGGCAACAAGGCGCATTTGTCCTAGCAACTACTGTAATTTTTGTCTTTGAATGATTCCCTTTTGTTCTTGATTTGTTCTATAATTAATTTTTTTATTTTGTGTTATTTAATTGATTTTTATTGACCGTTTGAATGGATTTTTTTGAATGGATTTTTAATGTACTATATATTATATTTCAATTGTTTTTTAAAGTGTAAATAACACGCAAATTGGTCTATGACCACGATGTGTTATATTTTTTGATAAATAATAAAGTGATATATATATGTATATAGGCCTATATATAATATATATATATATATACATGTGTATATATGTATATATATGTGTATATGTATATATAGATTAAAATGCAAAATACTGAAACTGTGGGAAACAATGGCTGGATCTCAGTAGAGATACAAAAATGATAAGCAACTGCTAAAAAGTAAACGTAAGTAAACAGCCAAAAATAGAACCAGAGCTTTCGGACAAAACTAGTCCTTCCATAAATAATTTACTATCTAAACATCCGACACCGATTTTAAATCTACATGTTTGTAATCGAAATCGTTAACTTTATTCTGTGTCATATATTAAATGTTCGTTTACATAAAGCAGTCATTTCGTTACCGATGTATCTAGATTCGCCGCCTAATATATAACAAAGATAATTTTGCTCAGTATTGTGTTAACGAGTTAACCACGGATTTGGTAGATGAATAGGTGTTTGTTAAAAAAGTACTAACTACAAAAGGTCCATGAATCACACGATAGATCAGCGTTTTACCACCGGCGACGAAACGTCTACATTGTATACATACCTGTCTCTTATACACATCTAGATGTGTATAAGAGACAGTATATATATAGCGCTATAAAGAACATGTATAGCATGTGATCAGATAAATGAGGCAAAGATAAAGCAATGGAATAGCTGTAATTATTTCGATAGCTCCAATAGCAATTTATTCATTCAGCAGCCTGTGGAGATACTATACTGCTATTATTAGGATTGTGAATGCTCAGCTACAGGCGTACTTGCTACTTTTGCTATAGCTACAATTGCAATCTTTTTAGCTATTAGATTGCAGTGGGGCAGCGGGGATCCGGGAGAAAAACCACAATTCTTCGGTCAGAAAAAAATGTATAGGCCTATCATGTATATTCTACCACATACTTCCATGATTCTACATTAATATCAGTAGGCACTAAAATCGATTAAATCATGGAGGTATACCTTCATGATTAAATAAGCCTTTGAAACCCCAAAATTATCATAATTTTGGGACTTCGCCCCACTCCTGGATTTTGAGCGACGCCAGACCAGGCCCACTTTTTTCGTCGGCGAATACCGCTCCCCCACCCCCTTCTCCGTCGGGGACATCGGGCCCCCGTCAGGCAAATCCTGGCACCGCACCCAAGTCTAAAGCAAGAGGCTCTACTGTGTTTCGGTTTTACATTTAGTATCTGTATCTCGACTCTTTTATTATGAATAGAACATTCTACATAGTGGTAAGAGTTATTGTGTTGGGCTTGTGGGTTTCAAATATTTTATTATATCTTACATTAGGCACGCCAAATGCTCTGCACCATGTAAGAATAACGTCAGTACGGATATCACCTCTCCCTTCACAGTAAGGGCCTAAGTTGGGGACATGCCATATCTTGATACCAATTTTGGCCTTATGATCAATCTTTTTATTACGGTGTAGTACAGTACTATATTGAAGCCATATTAGGCCTACTTATTGGATGGAGCATTTCAGAGCAATAGGACCGATTTTTGCCCGGAACTATTTTAGCGTGACAGGCCTTGGTTAATGTAATATAATCGTATACAGTATAATTATTAACACAGTAGTGTGGGAATGTCTGAAAAAATGATGATGTTTGACTAGGATGTTCATCGAATGTTCATCGAAATGCACTGTTCGCAGAGAGCTTGACATCGTACGATCGTTAGAGGAATTTGTTTTTTAGCGTTACTAATCTCTACGGGTTCATTGATATACAACGCCGAGGCACCTGTGACTGGTTTTATTTGAACGGCGTTCGAAGGCTAGGCCACTGTTCCGACCTTTCAGGTTCGAGCGCCGTGATTTATGGATTTTTAGTTTCGAAACTTTCTTCAAAGTGTAACGGCATTATGAGTCACTTGTGGTTGAGAACACCGTCATGTCTCAAGAGATTGCTGAAATTTCAAAAGACGATAGTTTTTGTATTGTCCGTGATAATAAAAGCGTAATCATCTGTAAAAAAATGCGATTATATTCTCAATAAAAACTTTTAGCAGAACTACTTGACCTGCGGGAATTGATTTCTAACGGCTCTCTACGCTCGTCATTGTACTCTCCTTCATCACTGTACGAACATAATACGCGATTTCACTGGAAAAGCAAAGGGCGCGAATGCCACGGCTTTCTTTAATAGTGACACATGAAATCGCATAAGTGTTGGTCTAATCGTCGTCTATGTACAGCACAGTTTCTTGTAACAGGCTAATGTCATGACAATACTTTTTTTTTCAATGGGCCTAGACTAAACTACTGTACACAACTCATCATTAATTGCATTTAATATGACCGCAGCTTTTGAAAGAATGTATATTCGTTACGTTTGAAGTAGATCTTAACATTCGGTGATAAATTAAGGATTGAAAAGATGACAATGCAAATTATTAGCCAGTAAGAAAAGAATGTCAATAGGTCTACACCATAACTAATTATACCTAATTAGGTCCACTAGCTAGTAGTAGTGCCTTCTCCTAACGCAAGGAACACGCACTGATTACTCCAAGTAAATATTAGAATTTAACTTTAGCATATATTTGGGAAATTAATATTATTTTTAATGGTTTCCTCTTTTAATTCATACGGAATTATTTTTATATAATACCATCTTAACGTTTATGATTTTTTTTGTTTATATTTTATGAAGCATGAACGCAATGCGATTTGAGTCTGTGCCTAATACACCTAGGAATATCATAATTAAATTCGAATTCTCTGGTGGGCCAATTAGTGTCTGCATAATATGAGATGGAAGAAGCTCTGGGAGAGTTCTGTTCATTCTCTAGCATATTCCTCTACTTTAAATTTTACAACACATTATCGCTAAGTCCTACTAAGCCCTATATCTATCTACAATGTATGTACTGTATTGTATGTATATAAATATGTGTATATGTATATATATAATATATATATATATATAATATATATATATAATTATATATATAATAGGCGTGTATAGATTTTATGTCAATGATTTTCTCTAATATCAATTTTCGTTATTCTGTATTACGAAATACTTCTTCATTCAAAACGTGTTCATTCTTATTTTCACCACATTCCACTAAAATACCGCACTAAATATTTTTGATTATTTTATTGTCCAACCAGCCATATTTTGTGTTGTTCTTTATTGCTAGATTAAGACGTAGCAGCTAAGTATTTTTCAATAATTACCGATTGATTATTTATCATCTGAGTTTAATAATTATTAAAAAAAAGTTAATGCTGTTATTTGAAATGTGTAATTTACCTGGTCATTATAAATAATTTACTATCTAAACATCCGACACCGATTTTAAATCTACATGTTTGTAATCGAAATCGTTAACTTTATTCTGTGTCATATATGAAATGTTCGTTTACATAAAGCAGTCATTTCGTTACCGATGTATCTAGATTCGCCGCCTAATATATAACAAAGATAATTTTGCTCAGTATTGTGTTAACGAGTTAACCACGGATTTGGTAGATGAATAGGTGTTTGTTAAAAAAGTACTAACTACAAAAGGTCCATGAATCACACGATAGATCAGCGTTTTACCACCGGCGACGAAACGTCTACATTGTATACATACAATGGCAAGGGATTAGATATGTACAATTGCTCACCTTTCTCAATTGAAAACAGAGAGGAATTTTAACGCAATTTGTGTAACTATACCAACAACTTAAAATACAATACAATACAGTCGCATCACTGTAATTTAGGAATCTGGTACACTACCATTTTAACAACTTTGATAATATATTTTCTTGAGGGCGCTCTAATATCTGAAAAAAGTTATCGACATGTATCGAATGAATATACTAGACATTGTTTTAATAGTTTCGATTTTATTTATTTTTTTTTTATTTGTAGACACATCGTGTTTGTTAATATTTTAGAGAGTAACCTTGGGTAATTAATCTTTCCAGCAAGATGTGTTACGGTACCTTTGTAATCAGGACCCTGTGTTTTAAATTGCCTTATGTGTTGCTAACCCATACTATTTATATAAATATTACGCATTACCTAACGTTACCATAAATAGACCTGCTCTATGATTACAAATTCGTTGTAAATTTCGATGAGAATTAGTGCTTTTACTACATCATTGCATAAGGGGCAATGTGCATTAATCATGTAAGCTTACGCGGCATCAGCACTGTTGTGATTTTTATGAACTGTTGCAACTTCAAAGAATTGGTATTGTTTAGAAAATATTTCCATGTTCTTTATCCTACTCTAATTCTTACATACACTAATGACAACAATTGAATATCTAGAACACATAAGAGTAATACATTTATTTTTGTTAAGAAATTATGATCCAATTCCGCTTTAATGAAACGTAAGGATATCTTCTCGTACATCCTGATTAAACAAATAGGCAGATCTTTCGAACTAAAGTCCTTGATAATGGAACCAAATGGCGCAAATTGATGAAAAACACAACATATTTTAAGAAAAGAACTATATGATTTAATGGTATACATGTTTTGGGTGTTCTCTCTAACCCATCATTAGTACAAACAGAAAAAAGCAAAACGAAATTTATTACATTTATTTTTATATAAAGTCATGTACATAAGACAGACAAATCTTGAATTTTCCTTTAATACGCTATTTCTTATTATGACTTCATTTTTATATATGTTACTGTAACGAGGAACCGAGTCTCGCATTTGTCTTGATGTGATAATAAAGTATATCTATGTCTATTGTACAATTTAAGCATTATTCTGCTCCAACCACTAGCCTATTAATAATTATACATTAGAACATTTACTATATATCTATACTGTAAGTACATATAGGCCTACGTTTACAGTATATTATGATTTCGTTTGAAATTTAAGCCTTAAATCAGTTTGTCGAGAAAATAGTTACCATTTCATCAAATCCAATCATATTAACGTATTACTAATGCCATTTGGTTTACTTTTGTTTGTTATCATTTAAAAAATATCAAACAATACTATGTATGCTAAAAATATATAGGCCTATTTACGGTAATTAAAGGAAATTTGACGAGAAATGGAGCCTTCAGGTTACGCACGATGAGGGTCATAAAGATGACGATGTCTGTAGATATATGACGATGAGATGACGACGACGATGATGATCATAATAATGGTCATTAAAATTAGGACGATAATTGATGATAGTGATGATGACTGATATTGATGATGATGATGATGGTGATCATAATCATAAGTATAATGACAGTGAAGGTGATAATAGTCATAACGGTGATAAAATATTTGAACTGAGTAAAACGGACTTACAGACCGTTTAGTTCTTCTACATTGTGAAAGTCTATTATATTAAATAAATAATGATCTATTTCTGTTTAATTATTAGTTGTGTTTTATAATATGCAATAATAATTAATAAACATCAATTAAAAAAACCAACAAGTGTTTATGATTATGACGAATGATAAACAGTAGGCCAATTTCTTTTTGTTGGTTATCTTTATTTGGTTAGCTTTTTGGATTAAATCTCATAAAACTACCAGTAATAATAGATGATGATGATGATTCACAAAACTGAAGGTCATTACAGCATTAGACATAATTAAAAACGCTCGCTGTTATAACAATGAGATACCGTTGTACTGTATAATCGCTCGCTTTACCGATAAAGCGATTATACCAATTCTGCTACATACACGCCAACGTGTATTTAGACACTGTTATACACGTCGAACTGAAATGTAATTCGTAGGCATCTTATACTTTAAATATAAATAAACAAGGAGATATTTTTTGACACAATTCTTTGGAACAGTAGATCTACTTGTTACATTAAAAGTAAAGATTTTTTTTTTTTTTTTTTTACAATAAATGTTAGTACCGTAAATACAGTTAAATAACGGCGCCACCGAGACTTCAGTAGTAGTGTCACATAACTCCCGCATTACGCTATTGACAGAAAATGCATTTCCTTATAATACTGTATATTATGGCTAATGTAAATCGCATTTTTTATATAGCGCCAGCCTCTAAACAACGTAACAGGATCCACTCGGTAGCGCATAAATTTAGAAATTGAGTACCCATACATCACGCGTGTTTACGTAAAGGCGACGCATGGAACATTTTTGGTTAACGATAGAAACATAATGCCCAACTACGTGTTTGTCGCTATTAACGTTAAAAAATAACACGTATTGCGAAATAATGAAATTTCATTATTTTTAAGCCTATGCGATATCATTGTTCGTTTAAATATTGTTTTATTTTATTTATTAGTCGGTATGTCATATTTGTATTGAATTGAAACGTTACTGCCGCTGATGTTGACCACGTTATGAAAGTATTTTGATTTGAAATTTGACTTTTCGCTATAATTGGTATACATAACCAATATATATATACCATCGAATGATTGTGCTTTCCTGATTAATAATATCAATTGTATACCGAAATAAGACTTCAGACTGGTATAGCTAGATACCAGTAAATAATATATAGGCCTAGTTGAAATAATAAAAATTTAAAAAAACAAAAAAACAAAAATCCAACGCTTACCTAATTTAAGCTCGATAGCAAAGACCACTTGTTGAACTCCTACGAAAAGCAGAAAGCAAAGCCCCAATTTCATGCTTCAATGTGATATTATATTCAATATTTATATTCTATTAAACATATACCGTGGAAAATCTAGGTGCAAATCAAGATGGCGTTCGTTGAAAACTGTTCTTTCTGATTACAAAAGTATAACGCTTTGAAAGACGAGTGTTACACAGTATCGTGATCCGGGTCTACGAATAGTCATCAATTCGCCCCCGAGGTCACAGAAAAAAAAAACGAACAATAAGATGTAAGCTTTTGATATGGAAACTAATCGGACTGGGTCCTTCAATATTCAGCGTTGTTGTTCAGCCTTATAAGGGTCTATTGATTGTTTGAAAGATGGTATTAATGATGAATTCCTGTGACGAAACGCAATCTCACAAAGAGGTCATACCTTACCAACTAAGGCTCCTCCCACAGATGAGGTGATTTATTTCACCATGATATGCGCAGACGACAATTATTAAACATTTGTTAATTTTCAAGGTAAACTAGATAAAACAAACATGCCTAAAACGCATAATTTTACCAGAAATTTGTTTATTGTATATATTTCGGTACATTTCTGATCTCACTTGCATTATTTATGCTCCTACAATTCAAAATATCAATAAATGATGTGTTACAGAAAAGCTATAATTTCAAGCAAAATATAGGCGGCGCTATTTAAAAAAAATACTCAGACATAGCTAAGTTACTTGTAAAATATGAAACGTTGGCGAATCTCTCTGTGAATCGATAATACGATTATATCCATCACTTTAATTGATTCAAATACTTTTTTAAATATAAAACTACATAAAAAAGCATGTCCAAAAATGATGGAAGACAGAAACGCTACAAATTTTTTTACAAAACGTATCCTCAATCATTGCATAATAGGCTACTGGTAACTGATAAGTCAATGCCTTGTACAGTTTATATATCAGCCTATAACTAGGTCTACGTTATCAACAGATGTTCTTTAAACAATTCATTAAATCATTATCTTATAGACATAACAGACTAGCCTAATAATCTATTATTTAAAAATTAGAATAATTGGCGGTTTGGTGGTGGTCTGCTTAATCCTAGAGGGCTCACTTCATATATTTTTATAACTTTTAACCATTGTTTAAAAACTATAACGCACAATTTTCAATGTGATTGGTCGTCCAAATTCTTTCTGAATAGTAGGTCTAGCTTCCAAACAATGTGTTTTAAATTATATCTCCAATACGTACTGTCACTGCACGCTGTATGTTGTTCTGAGATATCCGTTTTCGTTAGCGGCAAACACACAAAACGGGTCACAGTCGTTTTGTGCAGTTGGATTTTATTTTATTTTTTTTACAAAATACCGTAAGGCCTATTAGCCTGTCATAGGTTTTCCCTACTTACAGCCACTGTTTCTGTTTTGTACTGGAGGTCGTTGTAGGGTCAAGTTCTGCAGTTTCCTTAAGGTCTCTCTCATCTTCATTGCTTACATTTTCTTTAGAGCGCTGTAACTGCACACCGAATGAATAATGTGTTTCTCTCATTGTTTCTCTCATTGGCGAATAACGGCGCCGTGGACGAAGCAGCAAATAACACATGAGTTCCAAGAAGAAAAACAGGAGCGAAATCGCTACTCCTATGAGTAATATATAATAGATACCCTTCAGGTCTACGATTGTTAGTGAATACAAGCCTTGTTTGTTCCAGGTACTAAGATAGTTGTCACATTCACTTTGGGGTCGCATCCATTTTGCGTCAAGTTCTTCTAACACGCCATTCTCCTTTAGTACTTTAATAGCGTACGACAGTTGATCGCGAAGTGGTGATCCTGGCTGGACAGCTAAGCCGTACCTGACTGTACCAATCGCTTCTGGTACCAGGTATACATTACATGGTGACTCTGTAATTTCATTTAACATTAAAGCTGACTCAGCAAGAAAAGCATACTTTCCATTGCTCTCGCGCACGCGTTCGATACCAGTACCAATATCACTGACGTACGGGTCGTATACATTTGTAAACATGTATTCATAAATAGAGCGTAGGTCCCCGTGTTTCGCATCCTCAAGCAATGAATACGTAGATCCGTCTTTTACGCAGCCGTAAACAATCTCCGTTTGTTGCAATAAGTCACGTGATGTACGATAGAACGCTTGTTGCTTATTAACGTTCATGTAATTTGAGAGATTTAAACAATATGAAGACAACATCAATAATGAAAACACCCACCACACTGCAGCGCCGATACGACCGGCGTTCGAACGTGGTGACGCATCATAACTTTGAAGAAACGCACTCGACGTTACAAACCAGAGAGCGTTCTTAAAATTAAAATTATCCTTATTGACTGGATGAACTTCACCCCTTCGTGCTACAGCGGCCCACTCTGTTGTACTAGATCGGTTGATGATCCATAGAAGACCGGCTACAAAGAATAAAGCGACGAGATTTGCACACCAAACTTCGACGCCAAGCGGGAATGTAAAACTAAAATCGTGAGTATTGTAAATGTAACTAGGGTGTTTGACAAGTATCTGGACTGGACTCTCACTAATTGGTAAGGTGAAATCAACTTCCTCCTCGCGTTTGTCAGTTATAGTTAACGGTCCCGTGGCAATGTCAATTTCCTGAAGAATAATAAGAAAGTCCGATTCATCATCCCTAAATATTTACAAAACGTAAATTGCACCAGTAGTAGTCCAAAACAGTAAAATACTCACCTGGTTAATCACAGCTCCTATCACACCTGACCATTCTTCACTGTCCAAGTCCTTGTAGCCGTATTGTCCATCATCGTATGGGACAAGTTCATACTCAAATTCCAGTCCATCATTTAATAAAACTTTGCGAATTTCCATCATAAGATCCGGGATGTACCCTTCAAAGCGTTCATTATCCTCTAGCAACGTACTGCTATAGTCCAGCTCAACATCCATCATGAAAGGTGAGACCTAAAAGATCAATAGACGTTGTCATCATCATCATCAGAGAGGCATGTTGTGGCAAAACGGCTAAGTTGTAGCAAAAATTGAAATTCAGGTTATTGGTATTTTCAAATACCTGAGTATGTGATCTTTAAAATGAGGGGCCATGTATTCAAATTGGACATTTTAAGCCTAAGTTATTGTAAAGTGAATGTACAGTACTCTGAGTCAAGATAAACAGGATTTTGAGCAATTGCCTTACAAAGTTATTTGTGCATACCTTGTTTATTATAGAATGAACTATGAAAAATAACTTTAAATATTAAACAATGTGTTAACCACTTCCAGAACTAATACTTTGGGACATGATTAATAAGACATTTTAAACTGTTGATCTATAGTGAAAAACAAATTTGGATTTTTTAGCAATTTTTTTAGCTCCCATATTTTATAGCTCATTTACTCAATACTGGACTGTGCAACAACTTAACAATTTCGCCACAACATTCCTCTATTATCGTACCATCCACTAGTCCAACAGGGGTGGCGCCAGGATTTACGAGCGTAACACTTGGTTTCCATACAATCGCTACACTGTCGCTATACTGCGTAGCACTCCCCGACTCAATCAGAAAGGCTCCCGGATTCGACCGACCAGTCAGCATCACCGAAGAAGTTGTCGGCAATAGCGTATAGTGATTGTATGGAAACCAAGCTTAAATGGGCGTGGTCGGGCGTCGATAAAAATCTCTAGGAAGTGGTCTAGAAACTATGACAATTTAGGAGTTTCAAGAATATACTTGCGTTAAGGATTGTAGAAGCGATTGACTGATTGTGAGTAGCAATCCTTCCTACAAGACAAATACACACACAATGCTTTACACAATTTAAATCTCAACATGAGGCCTAGAAAGTATCTGTTATGGTCATACTGCAAATGTAACAGGAACTTAGCCCAGGAAGATGATTTGAATTAGCCACCAAGCTATTCAACTCCCCCGCCCCACCCCAGTGTGCAGTATGTAGCCCAAACTTGTTCCTTAAACCATCCAGTTGAAAACGTGTAAGGAGGGAAGCTAGAAGACGTTTAACAAGGAACCCTTGATATTCATGGTTAGCTCAGCTGTTTATCTAGCTGAGCTAAGTATCACTCCCTGTCTACATACGGTACTGTACCGCTGCATTGTGAGAAAGACCAACATCACTTGATCATAAGAGAGGTGAGATTTTCGACAATGCATGCATACAGTATTTTTAGATAGTCTCAGGAAAAGTCAATTGTTTCAAAATACTTATTGTATACACATCTTTCCATGGCATTGCTGCTCCCTACATTGGGAATTTAGTTCATCTTAGGTCTAGTCGGTCCAGCCTTTCACTCGGATCTCAGAGTATTTTCTGTTGCTGCGCCATTACCGTACTATATAATTTCCTGGCTCTTGAAGTTGGCAATTCTTATCTCAACATTTTTAAAAACCGTCTCAAAACATTTTTTTTTTGTCACATTTTAATTCTATTTCATCACAAGACAACACATTGAGGCCTTGTTTATGCGCTATAGAAAATTTATACATATTACTTATATACATTGGCTTACATTACATTAATACAGTACCGTACCGGTACTCCACGGTAACCACTCTACTTCGGCCGGCGTTTCTTCAAAATAAAGTGATGTATACTATACACTCACCATGACGCTGCCAACGACGAATATCTCATTTCCTGCTGTCCACGTTGGATCAATGCTAAGGTGGACAACATCTGTAGCCAATTCATCATTATATAACTGCTCCCAATGGCTTCGATTTTGAATCCATTCACCACGCTGGATATGCAGTAAAGATAATATTTTAAAAGAACTATTAACACGATTATGCATATAGAATACCGTACAAAGCCAGGTTATATATATATATATATATATATATATCTGTCTCTTATACACATCTAGATGTGTATAAGAGACAGCTGATAAGTATATAACTATATATATAATTATATATATGTATATATATATATGTATATTTATGTGTATATATATGTATATATAGGCCTATTTATACATATATAATAATAAAAGTAATAATAATAATAATAATAATAATAATAATAATAATAATAATAATAATAATAATAATAATAATAATAATGTATTGTGCACCAAGTGAAAAAAACATAAATACACAGTTAACCTTCATATATTTGTCAAAATATTGTTTTGTTAAAATATGTTTTAAAATTAACTTTACAAGGGAGCGGCTGAAAATAAAAAGGTGCGTTTTGTATACGTCTTCGTAAGAACAGAATGGAATACCCACTTTATTGTGGGCAGAATGAGATTGTTCATACCAAGAAACGAGTTTAGCACTGTGTGATGATTGGGGACGTAGTAGAGCCATCTACGTTAAAACAAGAACCCTACATAAAATTCGTTATCAGGTAACCGTTAGATTAACGTGTTTACAGAAGTTATCTGTCGTAAGTGAATAGATTCCAGAGATAATTTCCGATCTTCTTTAATATTACGAAGGCATGATAACATTTTCCAATAGACACCTTGATCTCCAAACGATCTGAATTGAACTTAAGTTTAGGTGATGGAAATTATGGCAATAAAATATTCAGTTCATTGTGTGGATTATATTTTAACAAATTATTGGGCATCTATAATTCAATTTCACAAAAACATTTCAGAAGTTTGTTGAGGACGGGTTGGAAACTTGATGGAAATAAACTAATATATAAACCGTCAATGGATACCATCGGTATAGATAGTGAAATTAACATGGATAGATTGCAACATGGAGATACTTGACTTGAATAGAGTTGAATAGCATAGTGGTCAAAATGCTCGCCTTTTAAGGCTAAAATTATTAGTTTATCACCCTATCAAAGAATAAAAACTGATGAGGGAGGGAGGTTTTTTTTTTTTGTTTTTTTTTTTGCTAACCCCGCCCCAATTTTAACGATGATCACAAGTAAATCAATGGTTAGGGACACATATATAAAAGTCATAAGGATGGAATCAAATTTATATTTAAAAAATATGTTTTTGTTGTACCAGTAAACATATTTGCAAGAAACCCTGAGCTTTTCAAGTGAAAAAAGATGGAAAAAGGACCGTTTGAAATAAAAATATATTTTGATTGAAAAAAAAAAAAAATCTGATTTTTCCCAAAAGTGATGAGGGAGCGGGTGATAAACTAATAATTTTTTTTTATTGAGCTTAATCCTAGTCTTTTTCGTGTCTATACCTGAGACAACAGGAACGACTAAAAAGACCTCCACCCACAAAACCTTTAAAAAAAGACTTGGTTAATAAAGCATCGTCTATCCTAAATCGGGGAGTTACTTTGATGCGAATTAATTAATAATAAATAAATAAAGGAGGGCCACGCCAAACACACAATTTAAATGTTTAGGGATCGAAATAAGAGATGAATGTTAATCAATAATTAATGGGATAAAATAGAAGAACCATTTAAGTACAGTACCGGTGCAACCAAGAAGAAGAAGAAAAAAAAAAAAAAAACGTTTATGAAGAGCGGAATGGTCAGTGATGATGAAGGGTACAGATAATGCTACAGTCTTCTTATCATCAACAAAACATAAATAAAATTCTTCAGAGCAGCCTCTATACAGTGACCGGATTTATATGCAGCTAAAATAAAATACATTTCAGAAACTTTAATAATGTTAAGGTAATTTGACAGAGGCAGCACATTTTCGATGAGATTAGAGACAAACCTAAAAAGAGTACTTAAAAAGAGGCAATTAAAATGTCTTCTTCATATAAATTATATTTTTGTAAGGTTTTCACGGAAGCTAATTTAAAGAAAGAAAATCATGAAAACTTTGTTTACCTTAATATCCATGCTGCCACCTTTACCACTGTAAATGGATATCGAATAGTCCACACGGTTTCCGATTTCGTTGAAAGTGATGTGCCCTGTCAGACCATGTAAATTTAACTGAAAGTAAACGCAACATAACTCAAATAACACAAGACAGGCCTACAAGACAAAGACCAAATTTATGTTATAGGCCTATCGGTATAGGTATCACACACTAATTTAGTTCTCTCATGCTTTGATTTGTCTCAGAATACCTCTGAATCGGAAAATGCTGAAGTACACTCATATATGGTCATGTAGCTTGAGCAGACGAAGTCAAAACAAAAGGTGATTTTTGGGTGCAGAGACTTAATAATAATAATAATATGTCGTTCTTATATAGCGCTTCATGCCTTTACAAGGCCTCTAAGTGCTTTACATTACTACCCCGGTCATTGGATCAAACACATATGGAACACATTGAACACCAAATTTAATTAGTTAATGAAATTATATTATCATTCCATAATATTGCAGCCAGTAATCAGCGCAGGTTGTGTTGGAACCTACCAGGTACCCACTTGTACTCTTGGGTGGAGAGAGGCAACCGTAGATAAAGTGCCTTGCCCAAGGACACAAGCGATTTGCACAGCCAGAGTTCCGAACCCCCGACCTCAAGGTTGGGAGTCCAAGCCACAACCGGTGCGTCATCCGCTCCTACAACTTATGCCAAAACGTACGGGGCGCCGTTTGGGACATTGCTATTTATGTTTTTAAATAGGCATTTTGTTGTCCCAAACGGCGCCCCGTAAATGGCAAAACTAGATGGCCGGAAATGGCACTCTCAAAATTAAATCTTATTGCAATTTCCCTTTTTTTCTCGATTTTTTTTTTACTTGAAATAATTAGGGGTATTATGTAAACTTTTTGCTCCATTTTGTATAAGGAATTATGATAAAATAGGCTGCTAAGCTTTGTTTTACGGGGCGCCGTTTGGGATACTGTCAATTTACGGGGCGCCCTTTGGGACACTGCTAATTATGTCTTTAAATACGCATTCTGTTGTTACAGAAATAATTAGGTACCACATAATTATTACAGTCAAACTATTATGTGTACATAATTAATTCTGTTGTTACAGAAATAATTATGTACCACAAAATTATTACTGTCACACTATTATGTGTACATAATTAATTCTGTGGTATCTCAGCCCCAGGATGGTTGGAGTGGATTCTCACTGCACGTGTGCAAATTTCTCTCTTGGCCCGAATATATGGATCCGCCACTGTAATTTGGTAATATTTCCACTTGCAATGCTCTAGTGTATAATGAAAAAGTTGAACACTGTATTAAAAGAATGTCTTTTACACCCTCTATAGTTAGAAAATTTATTTTGGGAGAATAGCATTTTTCTTACGTTTTGTGTAAGGTGACGGGTGAGCGGACTTTTAGGCATCCCAGTCCAATCATCTTCACAATCCAACATAATTGTATCTCCGGGTATCAATGAATACAGTGACCTTCCTGGAAACTTGCGCTTCATCTCGTCACTAAAGTAGGAGAAAAGAACAACCACGATGTTTAAATCACTTATTTTATGACATAATTCTTTATGCTATATTATATGCACAAACTAGTGTTGTTCGAATTGCCATGGACATGGGTTGAGAATGTTGAAGGACTTTAAGTGGCTGCCTGATCGAATCAACCAACGAAAGCCTTTATGGTCTAGTTGGTAAAACGATATCGCCGTGTAAGCAAAAGGTCCCGAGTTCGGTTTCATGTGGACGCTGCAATTCTTTTTTTTTAATTCTCACAAAATCCAATTATTCTACTATTACGTTCATAATCATAGTAATTTTATTAATTATTATTTATGTGGCTTGTTGTATCTATATGCCTATAAAATCATATATATATATGTATATATATAATTATGTATATATATGTGTGTATATATATGTGTATATATGTAGATATATAAGTATGTATATTATGTATATATATATGTATATATGTGTGTATATATATATATTATAATATTGCTAAGTATAATTTTAATTAATTTTGTTCATAGACGCTTCCTGCTCTTCTTGGATATTTACCATGGATGAATTATTTCCTCTATAGTAATTCTTTCCCACGGTCCACCACTTGGTCATTCATTGTTCACCCTTATAACTATTTATTTGTACATATGTCATAAATTCTTTATAGTATGCCGACTTGCTTTTGACTTAATTACCGTATTGTGTCTCAAATTGTATATTGGCAAAAAAACTTTTTCAATATGTTCATTTTAAGTCAAACGTTGACATAAGACTACAGGATTAGCTGAAATATTCGCCAAATAAATTTTAGTGTTAATTCATTCATTTGCCATGGGTGAATTAATTGGTCTATTGTAATTCTTTCCAACAGTCCACCACTTAGTCATTCATTGTTCACCCTTATAACTATTTATTTGTACATATGTCATAAATTCTTTATAGAATGCCGACTTGCTTTCGACTTAATTACCGTATTGTCTCAAATTGTATATTACCAAGAAACTTTTTCAATATGTTCATTTTAATTCAAGCGTTGACATAAGACTACAGGATTAGCTGAAATATTCGCCAAATAAATTTGAGTGTTTCTAAAGTTAACATCTTACATATTTGAGTTTCATTACTGTTACCCTGTATTATATTGTACATATGTTTCGAAACACACGTGAACACACACGCACAATTATATATATATACATATATATAATATGTATATATATATATATATATATATACACTTTTTTTTATAACAACACATTTTATAAGAACACTGAGGCTGAAACTGTTTAAAAATTAAGAACAAAATAAGAACAAATTGAGGCTGAGGTAAAATGTCAAATGAGGTTTTTTTTAATTATTTTTTTTTAAGTAAAAAAAATATATATAAAAAGGATAATCTACGAAAATCTTGAAACTTTTGGTGGTGAATTTGAAGTACATTGAATGGAACATAGCAACATATTTTGACGATCAATAACACTTCTGGCGGACTATGTGTGTATTGCCTGACAGTAGGCCTATATCGTTTTGTATCTCATCCTGTGATTTTTTTAAACAAACCTCATTCCGCCCTGGTATTCCCGCGGTTCTAAATATACGCTACCTCCAAAACTGCACGCACAAAACGAAATAAATCTATCCACTTTTCCCACCTGTAACTTATGACTGCTTCTCTGAGAACAAAAACTGTATCAAACACAAGTTTCTGTTTTAAAGTCCATTCATCGTGAGACGGTAAGTTAAATGTAGAATAAACTGTGCTCGGATCAACGGTCATTCTGAAGTTGGTGATGTAGGCGTCAACATCCTGAAGGCTTTCGGTGTGTGTTTCGTTGTAGTAAACGTCTGGATTTCCTATGATCCAATGGTAGTCTGTTTCCATCAATTCAAAATCAATAGCCTGTATCAGAAATTGCAAAACTTACTGTTTTTGTGATGTGAGTAAAACAAAAATGATGCACTTTCCAAGGATCCCACTGAAGAATCACATAGGCCTAATACTAGGTACACTTTACTCAATACCGTAATAAATCACGAGTTTTTACAAACTTAAGCGATAGTTTATATTAATAATTAGATTATGGACTTGTTACATTTTCGTTCAGATGCTGCATAGATCTTGAAAATATTGTAACATAAAAAAAATTATTAGCAGAATGTTGAATGCTGGGGTAAACCCAGATTTTCCTAACTATTTCAGACTTGAGAACAAGTGTAATAAATCTTATTTGGACGCGTTATTGTCTATTCACACTCACATCCATTAATGTGGTTGTCAGCACCTCTTCTGTGCCACAGTAGATCAGAATGTTTTTGATGTAGCCTTCTTTTATTATATCTGTCCAAGTTTCTATATCTTCGTCGATGACATTAACAAATTGCACACTCCATTTCTGGTCAGCAGCTTTTCTTACAAACGGTTGCAAATTTCTGAAAACTGAATAGAATTAGCCTGTAAATTTGTAATTTGTTAAGTGGGTTAGAACAAATGAAGCCTATATTTAATTAAAATAACAACAACAACAACAATAATAATAATAATAATAATAATAATAATAATAATAATAATAATAATAATAATAATAATAATTGTCTACTTATAAAGCGCATATTGTAAAAAAGTAGAATTATGAAACCAGAACCCTGCACTGCTCTGCATAATGCATGTCACGCATGCGCTGTATGGTGGTAGATAAAACGTGCCTCGGTCAATGATTTATTTTCGAGTTTGCGGAGAGTTAAGAATACGGAATACTTATTTACTTTACATATTCAAGCATACATGACATAACTATTTGTAAACCAGTAAAATTACACAGCAGTCGTAAACAAAAAACTTCATAATACTGACGACACGTACGTTTTTCTGTGTTTAAAGTACAGTAACTGTGCACAATTAGTTTTTTTCTGCACCACTTTTTTTTTCGTTTTTTTATATATAGGCCTAGAGAAATTTCATTTCAACGATTGTAAATAGTCTATCAAACTAATGCCGCCAAAACTGTCAACTTTTGCTCTGTGGTTTATCAAGCCACAGACATCTAGATGTGTATAAGAGACAGGACCTCTAGGGTCTAATTCCAGTAATGGAGGTCAGTCTGGTCAGAATAGTAAGTTGTGTTTATATGAATGCATTTATGCTACATATTCAATCGTTACAAATACTCTTGATTTTTATATTGTCGCGGATTATTGTTTATTGATCTGTATGGTAGTCTTGTGGTAGACCAATATATTATTTATTCTAACAAGACTGACTGAATGCTGCTGTCGTCGTCGTGTTTTGTACGTATTGCCAGGGAGTTGTTATATAGTGTATTGCACACCAACAGCAACGTCAATTGCCGTGTTCATCGTGTGTAAAAGACACATTAGTACATGTGTAGGTAAGCACATTCGATTCAATACTATATTATGTAAAATGTTGTTCAGATCACGTTAATTTTTACTAAAACACACGTTACACCTACTAGACGACAAGCAGTAGTCGACTTACCACAACTACCTAAGTTCACGCTAGGACCTAGACGTTCGCATAAACAACACAGACAACTTCAGTGTAAACTGTACACTCTCGCTATAGAAAACAAAATTTCCGCAAAATATTAAACACGTTCGATCCAATACCATTATGTAAAGACCGTGTTTGGTTAGATCACTTTTTTTTCATTTTTAATAACACGTGCACCTGCTACATTAACACGACAGAGGCCTAACCCTACCGACGATCCCGTAAACAATTGCTCAACTACACCAACAAGGTATGCATTATGGAACTTGCTTACCCTCTCGCGATGAAAAACAAAATGTCGGCAAAGTTTTTCCGACGCATGCGCATATCGAAATTTTCTCCTAAAAACGACTCAAAAAATGGTGGTAGGGGGTATATGTTTTATCGCGTACGTCCTACATTTTCATATTAAATACACGTGACCCCAAGCTGCCTTGATCAATGTTGAAGATTGGATGTGTTACTTGGGCCAACGTAGCAGTAATGTCGAAACATTTGGTACACAAATCTTCAGTAACGAGTAGTGCCGATATTCTATGAGTCTTCACCCAGTGGCAGACTGAAAAGAAATAGTTGTATTAAGTTAAGCAAAATGTATACTAGGCAGTTTGGCAATTTTTCTTTACTAATTATAATTTGCTTGAATCTGCATAAGGCAAAGCTGCACAAGGATTGTAAAATCTCCTTTGGAAGATTACTTCAAGTAGAAAACCAAGGAACTACAGAAAGCACATTTGGATAATCAGCACTCTACCGCCTTGGATGTTCACAGGGAAATTAGCTCGACAAAAGCTAAGCAGCTTTGCCGTCTTAAAGGAACAAGTACCGCTGAGCGCCGTTTTCACATTTTTACAAGCTCCGTTCCACAAGATTTCAGATGTACTCCTAATTGACACTGGTCCTCTTACAGGGAAGAAAATTAAGGACTTCCTATCTAAAATCGGCAACTTAAAACTATCGGATCCGACTACATACACGCCATAATTTCATAATTTGGAAACATCCTTGCTTCATGCACTATCTGCTGTACATTTGCAAAGAAACGTTTCAAGACAACTCACCCCAGAGCTTTAAACTCTCTTTAATAATTCCGGTTCCTAAGAAAGGTGATCTTAAAAATCCTGAAAAATATTATGGCATCTCTCTTCCACCAACATCGCTGCAAAAATACACAAATCTCTTCTTTTTAATTGTGTTTTAGAACCTATCCTCAGAAAAAAAAATTACAGCCAAGTCAGGAATCCTTCAAGGGAGGCACTCTTGCCCAATGCCAAAGGTTTCAATATTAATTAAGATCATGTCATCCAGACGTCATCAAGGCATACATTACTGATCTAGATTATGCTAGTGAAATAGCTCTGACCTCAGACCACCTCACAGTTGCACAGGATCCCCCTATGATATTTCATTGTAAGCATCATAAACCAAAGCCGGATTACATCTTAATGCCAAAAAACTGAGGATATGGTATTTAATAAAGAAGATGTCCATCCTCCGATCTCCACCATTGACTGATGAATGTTCAAAGAAGTGAATGATTTCAGGTATCTTAAGGAGAAAGCAAAATGACTTCCTCTCTCGTAAAGGTCAAGCATGGAATGCAATCTACATCCCAGTCAGTACAAAGCCTACCGGTACCTTCTTCCGTGCCTGCGTGGAAAGTATTATTTTATACGGGTCAGAAACATGGACCATGAAGAAAGTCTTTAACATCATCTGGAGAAACCACCCAACCAAACAGCAGAATTTTAATGACCTACCTCCAATTACATCCACCTTTGCAATCAGAAGAGCTCGTTTTGCAAGACATATCTTTAGAGCAAAAGACCAAATAATTTCAGACTTTCTTCTTTGGAAACTTCCATACTCTCGACGAGGCAAGCACCCCATAGAGTCCACAAATGTAAAAATCCACCACAAATGTAAAAATAACCACAAATGTAAACCATTGTCCCGAAAAAGTCAAAATAACCACAAATGTCAAAAAAATGTCAACCACAAAATATGTAAAAATAACCACAAATGTAAAAGAAAGTGCAAAAGTCTGTTTAACCTCAAATGTAAATACATTTCGCCTACAAATGTAAAAATGTGTACCACAAATGTCATAACATGTCAACCGTAAAAATGTTAAAATTCATTGCTTGCATACATGTGTATATAAAACAATAAATAAAACTAGAAATTGCAAATTGCAAGTAAAGTGCTGCGAAGTACAACTGCATATAAATGTTCTTCGAACAAAATTATTTATGCGAGTCAAGTGAAAATAATGAATAATAAAAATATAAAAACAATATGAGACACGACTAAATAATATTAGAACACTTCTCTTTGGGTAACAAAGTCGTAATTGTTCATTTTTGTCAAAAAGTGTCTAGTGGTGAATTATAGTTTAGGGTTTTTTTAATAAAGTTTCAAAAATTTATATGTATGTGGAAAATATAGTTGATTACCAAAGGTTGCAATTTTTATTTTGAAGACTCCATGGTCTAGGAAGTGTACATTTTTTTATGGGGCAAGTTTCCAAGGGCGGGTTTTCTAGGGGCGAGTTGACTGGCAAAGAGAGTTGACTGGCAAAGAGTGTTGCCAAAGTGCGAGCCAGCGTGTTATTTGATCACAAGTGCGAGACATCGCAAGTGTGAGCCAGCGAGCCATGACGTCACGACAATAGATACGAGACGTTACTCGAGTTGTGCGAGGTATCGGCTGAGATTTGTGGAGTACAATTAAAAAAAAAAAACAACTATAGGTCTAATAATGAATTATTGTGATGTTAAATAGACAATGTTAGCTATCAAGGAGCGACGTTGTTTTTCATTGGGACCTTCGTCCCTTCAAGGCTAGGCCTATACCATCCTAGCTAGTCTAGGCCTAGAGTAGGATAAGGCTAGCGCGACATGCAGACGTTGGTACGTGTTGGTTAGTCTACAAACGTCGCCTAAAGTAATTAATTTTACCAGGCAGAACGAAAGAACGAAACTCCGATTTTCAGTCGTCTTAGGCCTTTGTTTTTTGACAAACAATGACTTTTCGGAGGTCAAATTGCTGTCAAGAATATGAATTGGCTGCTTCGCAGCAATAAAATGATATGTTAGGAAAAGATATGGAATGATATGAAATGAAACACGAAATTATATGAAATAATATAAAACGATATAAAACTACATGAAACGATATGAAACGAAATGAAAAGCTATAAACGATATGAAATGCTATGAAACAATATAAAACAATATGAAATGTTATGAAACGGTATGAAATGAAGTGAAATGAAATATGAAATAATATATGAAAGGAAATGAAATAAAATGGTATGACATTATATGAAATGAGATAAAATGATATGAAATGGAGTACTATAAAGTATGAAATTATATGAAATGATATAGAATGATATAAATTGAAATGAATTGATATGATATGACATGGTATGAAATGATATGGAATGTTATTAAATATAGAGTGTCATTATGAATATGAAAAGATATTAAACGAAGTGAAGGCGAAATGTTTTTTACGATTTGAGGATAAACAGATTTTTAAAATTGTGTGCGAATTTGTTTACTTTTGTGGTTATTTTTGCATTTGTGGTTGACATGTTGTTACATTTTTTTGGATATTTTTACAGCGGGTGCTATGTTTTTACATTAGTGGTTATTTTTACATTTGTTGCTGATTTTTACATTTGTGGGCTCTAGAGTACCATTCACTTTCCCCGAAATCATTGCCAAAGACACAGGACTCGGCCTCGAAGACCTCAGATGGTGCAATGAGTGGCAGACAATTCTGGTAAACTGCTGTTAGCACCATCTCGGCTGCGGCCGAAAGGTAAGGTAAGGTGCTGATATTATTATTACACTAGGCAGAGTTGGCTTACACATAATGAATAGCACTGGAAATGTCATTTTAGTGACCATTAAAGGATGATAACGGCCAGATGTAACTTTTTTTACCGTAATTGTTGGCTTGCCAGAAGTGAGTATATTCCTTCGTTGCGTGGCTCAGCGACAATAGATCAGGATTACTGTGAACGATGGCAAGGTTCATAATATCGACATAATCGGGATCATCATCACCAGAGTCTTCGCCAAATAATCCACCTGAAGAATTAGGATCAGTTGTTAGTCAAAATTGACTTTTGAAAAATTGTTTTTGATCAATATTTTTTGTTGATTTATAAAAATTATCGATAATATAAAATGTCATTAGACATATGTTACCTTTATATATGTCTAATGACATTTTATATTATCGATATAAAATGTCATTGAACATATATAATTATTGATTATTTTACTTCATGGTTGTTTAGTTAAAGTTAACATATGTCTAATGACATTTTATATTATCGATATAAAATGTCATTAGACATATGTTAATTTTATAAAATTAGAAATATTTATTAAATTTATTCCATAGTCATTTAGATAGTTACAGTTGAAGTGTGCCACGGAAATCTGCCCTTGGTCTTGCTTATAATTTCAGGACAAAATGTCAGTCACACACCTCATGTGATACTTTTCGCAAATACCAAAACATATTATTCGTAAGTAAAGTAAAATAAATATACCATAGACCTATTGAGCACACAGACAAGTCTTGTGTATGTCCAGCTTCATTATGTCGCATTAACCCTCAGGAGTGGCGCTAGCGGGGGGGGGGGGGGGGGGGGGGGCCACCCCTCCCCCCCCCGGGGGGTCCTCTATCCGTCGGGGAGAAAAAAAACACAATTCTCGGGGAGAAAAAAAAAAATTATATGTATGCTGGACATTATTTGTAAACTCTAAAATCGATTAAATAAACGTCTGAAACCCCGAAATTGTCAAAATTTTCGACCACTTTCCGAACCACTGGACCACTTTCCGAACATTTTAAGCAAAGCTCGACCACGCCCACTTTGCCCTCGTCGGGGAAATATTCCCCTCCTCGGGGCCACCCCTGCTAACCTCCGTTGACTCTAGTGCTACACCTCTGAGAGAGGAAATGATGCTTAAATAGGATTTTTTTTTAAATTACGAAGTTGGTCAGTTTTCGAAAAGCTGTTCAGACAGAAATTGGCTTAAATAACACATTTTTTTTTTCAATGGCCTTATGCAAAAATAGGCTACCAGGGGAGCGTGTGCCTATGCCTTTTACTATCTTAGTGTATTATGTTTACTAATGAAGTATCCACATGGGATTCGGTTATCAGGTAATGTGTGGTGTTGTATTTTTTTTTTTACTTTTGTACAGTAATACGTTACTAGATTCAGGAATAGTTTCTTTCCTAGAGCAATTAGGGCTCTAAATTGTAGGTAAATATTCCATACTTTTGCACTTTGTTTCTTTGTTTGTGTTTGTTCTGCCTTTTGGAATGTGTTTTTACCACAGAGCAAAACAAATTTCTATGTTCTCCTGAACAATGACAATAAAATATGATTGATTGATTGATTGATTGACAAAATGAAACGAAAAAAACTTGCATAATGCTCAGCAATACAGATCTTTTTCTTCTCTTTTGAGATACAGATCTTAACCTACTACAAGGATTGAACATGTTTAATTTTTTTTCCAAACTCTCTTAGTATAAAAAAAAAAAAGAGAAT